TAAAAAAGGGTCTAGGCCCGAAACGTCAGCTTTCCTGCTCCTCTGATGCTGCTTGGCCTGCTGTGTTCATCCCAGCTCTACACCTTATTCATCAGGATGTTGCGTGGGCTAGAGTGTTTCACCTATGAAGGGTCTGTCAATAGCCTGGAGTTGTTTTCCTTCAAGTGGAGAAGGTGAGGGGAGTTTTTACTGAGGTGTACAAAGTTCTGATGGACATAGAAAGGGTAGATAGTGAGAAACCTTCCTCCTCAGTACAGGGGGCATAGTTTTAAGGTAAGAAACATGGAGGTTCAGAGGGGATTTGAGGAATATTTTCTTTCAATCAAACAGTAGTGAGTATCTGGAATTCACTACCTAAAAGGGCAGTAGAGGCAGAAACTCTCAAGTCATTTTATATCTATTTAGATGAGCACTTGAAATACCATAGCATGCAAGGCTAAGGGCCAAGTGTTAGAAAATGGGATTAGAATAGGTGGATGATTGATGATTGTGTTGAAGGCATCTTTCTATGCTGTAAAACTCTATGACTCTATAACACCAACCTAGAAACTGGTTGGGACTCATGGATAAATGATGAGTTCCTCTCAGAAACGGTCCTTTATATCCTGATGGGTCGAGCTTATGTTGAGATGACAGTTAATTCTTTTGGTTACTAACCAACTTATACAATGTTACCCATTGCAATTATCTTGTGATCTTGCAAATACTTCCACTTGCACACTCCTTTGTTCAGAATTAGGCTCTCTGCAAATGTGTCCAAGCACACAAGGTCAGTAATCCGCTGTCTCTGACTTTCACTTCAAACTATAGTAGGGAAGACCTGATGGTGTAACTTTCACCTGTCTTGGCAATGGTGCACTCTACAGAAACCAGACTGAGATCATATCTGCAATGTAACTGTAGATTATTGGAGACTTGCTTGCCCTCATTATTTTGCTCCTGATATAACCATTGTTATATGGGGAGGCAATAGCCTGGTGGTATTATCACTAAACTGTTAATCCAGAGACCCAGGTAATACTGCCACGGCAGATGGTGGAATTTGAATTCAATAAACATCTGAAATTAGGAGTCTAATGATAACCATGAATACATTGCCAATTGTTTGGAGAAACCAACCTGGTTCACTAATGTCCTTTAGGGAAGGAAACTGCCATCCTTACCTGGTCTGGCCTACATGTGACTCCAGACCCACAGCAATATGGTTGACTCTTAACCGCTCTCTGGGCAATTAGGGATGGGCAATAAATGCTGACCTAGCCAGCGACGTCCTCATCCTGTGGATGAACATATTAAAAAAAAATGAATGGCCGGAGTTGATTCAAAAACAAAACTGTCTGGTAATTATTCAGGAACCATTAGAAAACCATTTTATTTTCTCCATAGCTGAGGATGGGTAGGAAGAAAATGAAACAATGGGTATGGGTGTGAATGCAGATTCTTGATCCATTACAGGAAAGTGGAACAACAGCCTAAGATCTGCTGATGAAATCATAGATTAAATAAAGTTGGATTTGATGGAAATCAATCCCTTCTCCTCCTTATCAGGCAAACCAAAAGTACTAACATGGGAGCAGCATAACTGAATAAGGCTTAGACTGTTTGTGTTGAATATAAGCAGAGTTAACCAAAGCTTGTGGCTGCGTGACGAAAGATTGCCTTAATAGGTGAGGAAAAGCCAGTACAATCGAGTACTGGTCTAGGCAGTATTGAACCAAGAAGAATATTTTCAGTACAATCCAGATACCAGCCTTGTTGATATTGTACGGGGTGTCCCTTACTGTGAGTTCAAATCCCACTATGACATGGTGTGATAGTAGAATTGAATAAACTCTGTGTTAATGATGAAGGCTTCTGAACTGCTATCAAAACCCAACATTTACTACTCTTCAAGAAATAAAACATTATCAGCAAAGATTATGCATTCTTTAATTCCCATATCATATTAGTACATGCCTAACCCTCTCTCAATAGTAAATAAATACAATTTTATCCATTTTCCCAGACTATTTTAAAAAGTGGAGTCTGAAAATTTATTCCATAATTAACTGCATTTTCAATGTGGAGTTTCAGTTAATTTGAAAGAGATTTAACACTTTATAATAAGGGACCTAAGGGTATAACCTGTAACTTTGAGAGACCAATGCAAGAGGCAGCTGTGCTCCATGTTTCCATTGCCAATTCACATGTCTCTTGCCTTCAGTCAACAGGCTACAGGAAAGCAAGATTTTGCATGCATTCTATCCATTGCACGATGAGCAAATTCTGTGTGAACTGGGAACTCGCTGGCATTCTTATAGGAATTTGAGCTTACAGCCCATTGGTGAGTAGACCATACTTTGAAGGTGACTTCATAAGCTATATTATAGGGGGCAGGGCTGCCCAAGCACTGTTCAATACATCTATGCCTTCCACTCCCTGAGGGACAGTTATTTGTCTGTCCCAGAAGCTGGTTTCTTCCTTCAGAACCCTACATATTATGTATGAAACTTTTAAGATACAAATGCCATGAAATTGGAACTGTCCTTTATCACTATCAACCCAAGTGGCTATTTATGGTTACCCTTAGTCTAGTCTCACCATCAATGCCACTCATCTCAGTTTATCCACTGGCATTAATTGGTTTTGCCTTACTTTGTGTTTTTGACTATTATTCCACTTTATGCAAGTTTGGTGCTTGCACTATTCTCACTTGGCTGTAAATGTTGTGATGATAATCTCATTCTTTTCTGAAATAGTTTGTTACTTCATTATTTTACTTTATTATTCTTATTCTTGTTTGTTTTTTTTCACCACAGATGTACCTACGCACAATTTTCTTTTAAAAAACTAAGAAGTTAAATCACATAAATGCATGGTAGAATTCTTATACCTTTGGTAAGGAAATGTTTTCAGTAGAGGATATGACAAGGATCCTACACCAAGCAAAGTGAGATATGGTAGTGGAATTACACATTGATCATGCGATGCATCAGGGCTGTTTCATGTAGCCACATTCAATGTATCAGGGGATTTGAGCAAATTATTGGAGTGAGTGTATATTCTTGTATCACGTGTGGATCAGTTGAAAGACTCTCTCATCTCTGAGTCACAAACTTCTGGGTTCAAGTCCATTCCAAAGTTTGAGCACAAAAATCAAGTCTAACAGTCCAGTACTGAGGGAGTGCTCCACTGTTGTTTCATTAATCCAAGGTCTTTTCTTGTCATCTCTGATAGAAGACCCCATGAATCCATTTTTGTAGGTTGTCCTTGATATCCTGAGCAATATTTATTCCTCAATCAACATCACACAGCCGATTATCTGGTCAGCATCACATTGCTGTTTATGGGAGATCACTATGTGTAAAGGGACTCCCTGAGGCTGCACTTTCAAAGTATTTAATTGGCCCTAAAGTGTTTTAAGACATTCAGTGGTCACAAAAAGTGCTATATAAATGCAAATCTTCTTTTATTATGGAATATGCAGGAAATGTGTCACATGAGAACACAAGAATGCACGCTGTTTGTCAATCAGACCTCCCCATTCACTGTGGTTGGGTCTTAGCCTAATGTCACAGCAAGGCCCTGTTCAGAGGAGGCAAGGATGCCAAATTAGAAGGAAAACCACAAGTAGAGAGGAAGAGGGGGAACCAAAACATGGATGAAGAAAATTGCCATATTTTTCTATTACCCGGGTTACCCAGGATAGAAAAGAAACAGGTCAATGGTATTTATAGCAGTGGAAAACACACAGCATGACTATTCTTTCATTTTTGTGTATGTTTCTTTTACAGACTCGATTTATAGATATTTCGGTGGTTCTGTTGCCATGTACTTCAGTTTTCTTGAATTCTTTACCTGTTCGTTGATGCCAATAGCAGCCTTTGGTACCGCAGTGGTTGCTCTATCAATGGACACAATTGACAAGTGCATCCTCTTTTCATTTTTCAACATTATTTGGTCGACTGTGGTCATGGAGTTGTGGAAACGCCACAGTTCCATTCTGTCATACACCTGGGGCACCATGCAGATGAACAGCCAGTTTGAGGAGCCCCGTGTGGGTTATAAAGGCCCAATGGCAACAAATCCGATCACCCATCGCTACCAGCCCTACTATCCTGCATGGAAACGCAAAGTGAAAATTTGGTGTGTTTCAGTGCCAGTACTGTGTTTGTTCCTGAGCCTCTCTCTGTTTGGGATGTTTATTTTCTTCAGGGCAGAGGCATGGGTCAAGACCTATCACAGTGAACACGATGGCTGCTGGGCCTGTGCATTATACCTACCGAGCATTCTTCACACTCTTTATGTTACTGGCATGAACAGTCTGTACAAAGTGGTTGCTGAGGTACTCACTGAATGGGGTAAGTGAGGGTTGAAAACAGTCAGCAGGGAGCAACTCTTCAGGTACACACAGACTGTGGCAATATTGTCCAGCTGAGCCATTTTAGCAGGAAGTTGTGTAGTGTAGAATCAGGCTATTCGGACAATCTAGTTCACACGGACCCTCTGAAAAGCATCCCACCCAGACCCACCCCTGCATTTCCCATGGCTGATCCACCTAGTCTGCACATCCCTGGACACTCCGGGCAATTTAGCATGGCCAATCCACCCCCCACAACCTGCACATATTTGGATTGTGGTAGGAAACCAGAGCACCTGGAGGAAACCCACGCAGACACGGGAAGAATGTGCAAACTCCACACAGACAGTCGCCGGAGGGTGGAATCAAACCTAGGTCCCTGGCGCTATGAGGCAGCAGTGCTAACATTTGAGAATCTGTAACACTCTCTTGAAGACGAACTAGGAAAAATAGATTCACTGTGGCCCATCCAACAATTATCCTTCAGCAAACATTAGTAGAACAAATTATCTGATAAATGACATATTGTTGTGTGCAGGTTGGATGCCACAATTAGCCAGGCATGTCCCACTTACAAAATGCAGGACATAGCCAATCTGACCAATAGCCTTTTAATCATCAGAAAAGTGATGGAAGGGGTCATCAACAGTGAATTGTCAAGCATTTGCAAAGCAATACGTTGCTCACTGATGCCCAGATTGAGTTCCACCAGAAACATGACCTTATTGCAACCTTGGTCCAGACACAGAAGAAAGAATTGAACTCCAGAGGTGAGGTGAGAGTGACTGTGTTTGAATCCAGGCAGCATTCAACTAACTGTCACATCAAGGGGCCCGAGAAAAACTGGAGTCAATGAGAATCAGTGGAAAACCCCTCTATTGATAGGAGTGTTACTGAGCACAATGGAAGATGGTTGTGGTTATTGGAGGTCAGTCATCTCAGTCCCAGGATATCTCTACAGGGGTTCCTCAGGGTATTACCCTGGTTCAACCATCTTCAACTATTAAATTAATGATCTTCTCCCATCATAAGAACAGAAGTGGTGACGTTGACTGATGTGTGCATAGTTTTCAACACCATTTTGCAGCTCCTCAGATATTGAAACAGTCCTTTTCTGGATGCAGCAATGCCTGGACAAAATCCAGGCTTGGTCTGGAAAGTGGCAAGAAACATTCATGCCACACAAGTGCCAGGTGATGACTTCTTCAATAAGAAAGAATCTAACCACTGCCCCTTGACATTACCGTTGCTGAATCACCCACTTATTAATATCCTGGGGGTTATCATTAACCAGAAACTGAACAAAACTAGCCATGGGTGGGACAGTGGCTCAGTTGTTTCACTGCTGCCTCACAGCGCCAGGGACCTGGGTTCAATCCCAGTCTCAGGCGACTGTCTGTGTGGAGTTTGCACATTCTCCCCTTGTTGGCATGAGTTTCTTCCGGATGCTCCGGTTTCCTTCCACAGTCCAAAGATGTGCAGGTTAGGTGGATAGGCCATGCTAAATTACCCACAGTGTCCAGGGATGTGCAGGCTCGGTGAAATGTCCCTTGGGAAATACATGACTACAGGGATAGGTTGGGGGTGATGGGTCTTGGTGAGATGCTCTTCAGAGGGTCAGTGTGGATTTAATGGGTCGAATGGCCTGCTCCCCCTCTGTAAGGATGCTATGGTTTTATGATATAAATATTGTGAACACAAGAGCAGGTCAGGGGCTAGGAATTCAGTGACATGTGACTCACATCCTGTCTCCCAAAAGCCTGCCAACCTTCTATAAGTCACAAGACAGGAGTGTGATGGAAACTTTCCACTTTCTTCGATGCATACAGCTTAATCAACACTCTCAAGAAGTTTGATACCAACCAAGACAATTAATTAGCATCACTCCTTCAACATTTACTCCCTTCACTATCTACGCACAGGAGCGCAGTGTCTACAGGATTTTTTTTCCTTTATTCACTCATGGGATGAGGGCGTCGCTGGCCAAGCAACATTCATTGCCCATCCCTAATCGCCCAGAGGGCAGTTAAGAGTCAACCACATTGCTGTGGGTCTGGAGTCACATGTAGGCCAGACCAGGTAAGGATGGCAGTTTCCTTCCCTAAAGGGCATTAGTGAACCAGGTGGGTTTTTCCCAACAATCAACAATGGATTCATGGTCATCATTAGACTCTTAGTTCCAGATATTTATTGAATTCAAGTTCCGCCAACTGCCATGGCGGGATTCGAAGCCAGGTCCCCAGAACATTATCTGGGTCTCTGAGTTAACAATCCAGCGATAATACCACTAGGCCATCGCCTCCCCACTACTGTGTGCACTGCTGTAACTCACCAAGGCTCTTGAGACAGTACCTTCCAAACCTACGTCCACTTACATCCAGAATGACAAGTGCAGCAAATACATGGGAACGCCACCATCTGCAAGTTCCCCTCCAAGCCATTCACCACCCTGATGTGGAGATTTATCATCATTCCTTCCCTGCCGCTGGGTCAAAATCCTGGTACTACCTAACAGACAGTGGGTCTACCTACAATCCAAGTACTGCAGTGGTTTAGAAGGCAGCTGGCCACTAGGAAGTTAGAGATGGGCAATAAATGTTGGCCCAGCCATCGATGTCCACATCCTGTGAATGAATTTTAAATAGTAGAGAAAAATAGCTACACAAGTGTTTCATCTTTTGGTGTTGATAACGGTATGACATACCTGTGGAGGAGGTGGGACTTGAATCCAGGCTTTCCAGTTCAAACGTAGGGATACCAGCGTTGTGCCACAAAAACCTAACCTCTTGTCTAATCATTCAGTTCAGAGATGTTATTACACACATCTGGATCAAGTGGGATTTAAACTCAGGCCTCCTGGCACAGAGATAGGGATACTACTACTGCACCACAAGAGACCCAAAGGCTTAGGATAACAATAGACATACAAGTGGTTAAATGTGGGAGAGGGGAAAGGTGTCAGTGAAAAATAGAACCCGAGAAACGATAATATGGCAAAGAGCGGTGAGAGAGACAACTGAAATAATTTCTAAAGTTTGTTGAAATTTTATTGCAGAAAATCATCGTTTAGAATCATCCTTTCAAAACCATTTGACAATCAAAGTGTTGGTGGTAAGTACAAAAGCACTTGCTGCATTTTCAAATTTGCCAGCGTTTTAAGGTGAATACTCTCTCAGCTCCGAGTCACAACATGCCATCATTCGAAAGGAGGGAGGTGAACTGATGCACTTTGCAAGCAGTTGGGCACGATAGTGTTGTGAGGCAGTGGATATCTCGTTTGTCTTTCCCTTGAAAATTGAGGCAAGGATCAATCAAGAACAGTCAGCATGGCTTTGAAAGGGGGAAATCATATCTGATTAGTTTAACTGATCTTTTTTCGTGGAGATAGCTATGGTAGTGCAATCGATGTGGTCTACATGGACTTCAACAAAGTTTTTGACAAGGTCTTGCATGGCACACTGGTTATCAGCCATTCCAAGCCCACTGTCCCCGACAGTTACCTGGACATTCTCATACTCTGTTCCTCTAAAGACTCTATTCCATTCTCCCAGTTTCCCTATCTCCATCACATCTGTTCTGATGATGCTGGCTTCTACAAAGGGCTGTCCGAAATATCCATCTTCTTCCTCAGCTGAGGATTCTCCACCACCATGTTTGACAGGGCCTCAGCTGTGTTCAACCCATCTCCTGCGCTTCGGCCCTTACCCCCTCTCTTCTCTCCCACATCACCACCATCCCACCAGCATTCACATCCAAAGGATCATTAGCCGCCATTTCCACCACCGCCAGCAGGACGCCACCACCAAACACACATTCCCCTTCCGGACTGTTCCCTCCGGGACATCCTGGTCTACTCCTCCTTCATTCCTAACACACCCCCTCACCTCCACTGCACCTTCTCCTGAAATCATAGGAGGTGTAACACCTACATGTTTGCTTCCTCCCTCCTCTCTCTCTTTAATGCAAACTAAACCATCTTTTCTTCCCTGTCTCTTACATGTGACTGCTGATGTCATTGTTGCATCATGACATACATCACCATTTCATTATCATATCCATCCTCATCATGTGACAATTTAATCCCGTTTGGTACTATTTCACCCACTTCACTGGCACATAAGTGTTCATTGTCTGCACACTATGAACGGATCAGATAGGACTATTTTTACAGAAAAATCCTTTATGGCAACTCCTGAAGAGTTTCACATTTGAGACCTCCTTCGTACTCAGCTAATAGCTAATTATAACAGTCACAACATTTTAAGTCTAGAGACAAAGATTAATTTCGCATTTCATTTCTAGTTTCGCTTTGTCAATTGTTTTGCTGCGCTGTTTTACATCTCACTCTACCTCCAGGACCTGGAGCTCCTCAGAAAGGTAGGCAGTTTGAAACCTGTGTCCAGATATAAAGCATCTATGGCTGCATTTCTTTTTAACAGGATTTAATACAAGCTGGTACAAACTGTGAGTGGCAGCTGTGATCTAGTTGGGCAACCTTCATGATGCCACTGATAAATACCTGAGACAATTGATACTTTATTCAGATTGTGAGAGAGATTGAAGATATTAAAACTAACAACAAACATGAGTACATTTACGCAGATAGCAGCATTGGATCTCTCCTAGACTCCAATAAGTCACACCAATAATGTTTGAATGTCAACTGGACTTCTGTGATCAAAATGCAATTATTATTCCTTGTAACTCAAATGTATGAATTGATTTTGCCCATGTAGAGGATCAGCATAATATATGTCTGCTTGCCATATGTGGGCACATTTTCATCTGACCTGTTCACATTTCTAGAGGAGGAGAAGTGTTCAGCTTGTAAAAACTAAATCCCGACATTCTCAAACTCTGGTAAGACCATATAACTAATTAGACTGTCAATTGCACTCCTCCCTGAGTGGGAGTCTTGAAGTGCCTCTATACTCTCCCAACAACACCTCCATCTCAGGTTAATTTCTGTAGATAAATGCTTGACAGGCACTGGAGAAATTCCAACTGTGCACTATACATTACCATGGCCTTAACCCCATTTATGGAATAGGTTAATGTACCCACTAAAATAACAGACTGGGGCATCTCTTACAAATAGCTACGATGGCTGATTTTCAGTCATTTCTAGACTTCCATTTTTTTAAAAGAAAGCTTTCGGTTTTCAAATCTCACTGCTGTCCTTTGCATCCTAGAAACTTGCATCACTCCTCGTTCTGACTCAGATCATCAATCAACTCATAGAGACGTTGGTGCCCTATCTCTACCAGACCCTTAAAGGAAAAGGGGCAGGTTTGAAGAAAAAGACAATGGAAAATGCACCAGAAATTGACAAAATCAAATTACAAGGACAGATGCCGTCATTTCCTGTAAGTAGTGTCATAATAATCATTGTGAATTACTATTAAAAAAAAGTCCCCTTGTTCTATTAAAATATTCAGAATACTCTCCTCTGAGTGATTTGTATTTTCAAAAGAATATATATATATGTTCAACTTGTTTAGTCTCGCCTGTGAATGGGATTCTTCAGTTCATAAACTGCAAAGCAGAAAGATTCAAGAGATCTGATGTTTTGTTTCTTAAAAATGCATGTTCCAGGCATGTAATGGGCAAAAGAATATTGTAAATATAAAGTATACTCGTGATGTTTCGTTCTGTTGTAGAATATTTGGTAAATATCTTGAAATAGTATAATTAAAGAGTGATTCCCCTCTTACATTTGAAATATATTACTTGGTGGATTATACACTGGTTATTGTGACCAAAGGCTTTCTCCTGTGTGTTGTATGGTCCTGGTTTCTATGACGTTCAAGCTAAAATACGGTCAGTGAATGTTACTTGAAGATGTTCTTCTTGTATCTGGTGGAATTTAACATCTGCTCTTCTTTGCTCACTTCCCTGACTGGATCTTGCTTCTCGCTGGATATTATTTCCTCCACATGAGGGCACTATTGCATTATAGGAAGGTGACAGCTTTGGGCCCTGCTGAAACTCTTGGGAGTTGGTTGCGTTTGATTTTCACTGAGATCTCTGTCCTTATTTTCCTCTGGATATGTTGAATGAGGTACAGGCAGAACCCGCGTACCATTTCTTACCATCAGCTGGAGATTTTAGAAGATGATGGATGCCAAACAGCATTAATCAGCGATGCCAGCTGTTCAGTATTTTAGTCACCATTGAGATCCGGGTGCACTGGAAAAGGCAACTTTTGTTCTGGGAGTGCTAGGAATGGTGAGGTTGTTGGAATCAGGAGACGGAGGATCCCAGGGTTTGGGAAAATTGAATGAGGAGGTTCCAGGAGTCCAGAGGCAGCTGTCTTGGGATCACTGAGAGCGGGATCCTGGTTTCTGAAGGTATGGCAGTGAGATTTATGTGGTCTGAGGTTCTGCAAGCTCTCAGAGAACGTCCTAGGATTTGGGTTCGAACTTGGCACTCCAAAAAGGATAGGGATGCCAAGGCCCTAAAGTCCAGTAATAGCGAGAAGCAGAGTTTCTGCAATTGTAAGAAAAGATTAGAGTCTGGTAGTTTTGGGATTATTAGTCTCTGGTGCACTGGAGAAAGCAGGACCTAACAACTTGGTGAGGGAAATGGTAGACAGGAGAATGAGATCCACATCACCCATGCTTCAACTTAAATCAACAGGACAAAAAATTGGAAGAACATGGTGACAACAATAGAAAAAACTATGCGCATCTTTTGCAATACATGGACTCCTGGAAGTGTTGTTCACAGATAATGGGCCATCATTTACCAGCAGGCAATTTGAAAGTTGCATGGTATTTGACATATAAGGTCAGCTCCATACCATCCATCGTCCAATGGTCTGGCAGAAAAAGCAGCCCAAACTTTGAAGGCAGGCTTAAAGAAACAGCCTACAGATTCACTAGATACCAAACTATCCTGGTTCCTACTTAACTATAGCAGCACCTCTCATGCAACTACAGGGACAGCTCCAGCAAAGTTGCTTATGGGGAGAGCACTCCGCACCAGGTTTAACCTGACCTTTCCAGACCAGGGGCAGGGGGGCATCAGGAATGCCAACACTGGACACAAGGCTCTGCTAAGTGAGAGGGACAGTTTACTTCAGGGGACAAAGTTTGATATGGGCCAAATGCAGGCAAATGGGACTAGTTTAGTTTGGGAAACTTGGTCGGCATGGACGAGTTGGATTGAAGGGTCTTTTTCCATGCCGTCTATGACTTTATTTGAAAACAGGCCTTCACTCACTATCATCTGTTTTATGTTGTCACACGAGGTGAAGATCTACCTGATTCACTGTAAGATCCTAAGAATTGTGCTATTGATGCATCTTAAATTGATTGTATATTGGAGAGGTTCAGAATAACAATCTTCACCTGAAAGGACAGAACTTGAGTATTGCTGAAAATAAAACAAACTTGCTGCTAAAGGTTTTCATCTTGAAGTCATCACATCAGGACAGATGCTGGAATACCAAATTTCACAGGGAACAACCCATTACAAAGCATGTATGGGAAGCAGGGTACTGATTGTTTGGCAAGATAAAAAAGCTTTGTTTGTCTCTTTTTTCAGTAATAACAAATTTCAAAGGAGTCCAATCCACCTTCCCCAGTACTGATATGAAATTAAAATGCAGTCATTTGGTATCATTGCATATTTTAATAGACACATGGACAATTATCCTTTAACTTCACTTTTACAAGGAGGTCTTGACAAGTTTTGGGATTGATCTAGTTTTCAAAGAAAAGCTGAATTTCTTTTTTAATGATTTATGAACTGACTAGACGGAAATAGTTGCAGCCTGTTAGACAAATTCAGTCAGCTCTACTCTGGGTTGTTCTATCTGTTCTCAGTCATGTTGGGGAAATGAAGCACTGTGTGGAAAGGAACCATATCAGTGCACAGGGACAGGAAAAGCAATGTGTTTTGTTTTCCAAATGTGCTGCATAGGTCATTTATTTTAGAAATGGTTCCTTGATGGTGACCCGTATCTTTTTCTGCCTCTTTGACTAACCTTTTGATTTGATAGACTCTGTACCTTGTGCTATTTATCCAAAGATAATATCATCTGGGAAACATCTCAGTAGAAAGGTTTCATAAGGAATGACAGGAGCAATCTGAACTCTACTACGTGAGTAACTATGGTAATGATTTTATTGGTGGTGCAACTCAACATGGCCAAGAATATCTTCAAATGGACTGTAAGACAGCAATTAACATTATATGAAAGAATTTGAGAAGGAAGGCTGGGGCTGAGGAGGAAGAATCAGTTCGTTCTTCAAAAGAGCTAGGCCTGGCTCATTGAATTCTCCAAAGCCACCATTTTATTGTTGAGAGATAAGCAGGAAAACTCAAAATCAAATGGACGATCAGTGGGATTCCCCTTCTTTGGGGCAGCCCAGCTTCTATATCGCAGTCCAAATGTGGGCCAGCACAGTTTACCACACTGAGGTGGAGTGTGTGCCCAGTCTGTGACTAACCTGATACTCCAATACTTGCACTCCTATCACCTTTGTTTTTGTGTGTCCAGGGGATGTTTGATGAGTACATGGAGCTTTTTGTTCAGTTCGGTTATGTCAGCCTGTTCTCCTGCATTTACCCTTTGACGGCCATACTGATTGTGGTGAACAACGTCACAGAAATCCGAACGGATGCGATGAAGCTCTGTCATCTCTTTAGAAAACCTTTCATCACACCAGCAGCAAACATAGGGGCATGGCAGGTGAGAAAGTGCATTGATTGGACTCTCCCTACACATGCTTTGGGGAGGGCTTTAATTGAGAAGCCGTTGTTTTTATTACAGACATTATCCCATTTCCTGCAAAAGATATGAAAAGACAAGGTTCTACCTAATAATGTGTTTCATGGTAATGTTTGCTCATGATAAATATTTGGTCCAGGACAGCAGGCAGGGTTGATAATATTGTTTTCACTCAAATAGTACCTTGTGATCTTCTACATCCATCTGAGAGGGCAGTGGTTTGATGTCTCACCTAAAATTCAGCCATGTTCCTCAGTAGAATAGTTTGAAAAGAATGATTGGAGTCGTCTGAACTCTACCATGATTAGATTAAAGCACACTCTTAGTCTCATCTGAAATTTCAGTCTAGATACTGTGCTCAAAACTCTGGGGAGGGGCTTGAAGCCACAAATCTCTGAGTGCTCTCACTGGGTGAAGGCAAATACCTAAAGACAGAAGTGTAGCAGATCGCTAGTTAGCCCTTGCTGACTCCTTGCTATTTGTTTGGATGCTTTTCAAACTTTCTCGCCAATAAGGAGTCAACACACAATTGGTAGAATGAACACATGATTTACATCATAAACAGCATGGGGTAAATCTGCTTCTAAAGAAGATTCGAGGCCAGCATGAACATGGTGTATAAACAGGTCAATTTCTGCCTTTTCTTCTTCTATACATTCTTAGAAAATAGTGAGTGGGAGTAGAGCCTCTTGATGCTATGTTTAATTGCGAGGAGAATATTAAATGTAAGAATAGGTATACTTTATACAGTGATTGTAATGAGCTCAGCTAGGTGGACCTAATAGAATATGAGTTCCCTGATTGGGGCTGTTAATCCTGTCCAATCAGGGAGCCCTGGCTGACACATAAGAACAAGAGTGCCAGACATCCTGTTCACAGAGAGCTGGCTCTGTGGGAGCTAGATCAGAGTCAAGGAATCTCCATGTGAAAATAAAGAGTGATTTAATGACGGGAGACCAGCCCCTGTGGAGCTATTTCACTTTAGTTAAACAGGGCATTGGTGAGACCGCGTCTGGAGCACTTTGTGCAGCACTGGTCACCATACTTACAGAAGTTTGTTAATGCATCTGTTAAAAAATTAGGCTATTACCAGGAATGCATTGATTGTCTTCTGTGGCAAAGCTGGACTGTCTAGGCCTGTACCATCTGGAGTTTAGAAGAGTTGGAGGTGACTTAATTGAAAAGATCCTGAGGGGACTTGACCAGATGGTCACGGAAAAGATGCTTCCTCTTGTGGGATAATCTAGAACTAGGGCTCAGAGTTTATATACTAGGGAATGCCCATTTAAATGGAGTTGAGGAAACAGTTTTTCTCTCAGATGGCTGTGAATCTTTGGAATTCCCTTCCTCAAAAGCCAGCGGACGCAGAATCTTTAAATATTTTTAAGGCGGAGGTAGATTGATTCCTGATGACCAAGGGGATGAAAGATTAATTGGGGATATGCAGGAATGTAGAGTTGAGGTTAAATCCTATCAGCCACGATCTGATTGAAAAGCAGAACAGGTTTGAAAGGTTGAGTGGCCTACTCTTGTTCCTTGGTCATATGTAAAATTGATATCAGAGGCATTTCTTTGGCTATGTTAGGACAGTGGAGTGGAATGCTTTCAAATGAGCTCAAGTGGGGTTCCAATCTGTTTCCAAACAAATCATTTCTCTCCAACTGGCTTTCAGTCTCCAGTGTTTCAGTGCTGCAGCTGCAAGTTAGGAATTAAATTCACCTCTCTGTTAGTGGTAATATTTAAGCTTGGTTAAAGCAGTCTATCCAAGTAATTGACAGCCAGAAGATAAAAGACACTGAACAGCAAGGTAATAGCATTGTGTTTATTTCTAAAGTTTTCCTATTTTGTTTTAAAAACCAAGGAGCATGTCCTTGCTTCATATTTCGTGGCTGGCGCATCCAAAATTTGCATTAACATTTTTTTTATTAACAATGCCATGTCTCTCTCATTATCTGCTCTGTTTCACAGACTGCATTTGAGATGATAGGATTCTTGTCAGTCATCACCAACTGTTTTCTAATTAGCATTTCCCCTCAAGTAGAAGAGTATTGTGCAGAAAATAATATAACATCCAAGAATGCGTTGATCTGGACGGTTGGCATTGAGGTAAGTGAATGTCCTTAGTGTTTATTCTTCTCTGTCTTGCAAGATACAATGATGAATCACAATAGGTACAGGCTGAAATCAATATCAGTTACAGCAGGGAGAGGAGTATAATGATTTTGAATGTGATAGAGTACAAATTGGAATGTATTTTCAAAAATATCATTCCAAAATTCTCATTGGTTCAACAATTGGCATTTAAAGGGATTTCAACAATGGCATCTAGTCTCCAATGCCTATAGTGGGTGCATTGGTGTAAACATGATTTGCCCACAATACAGTGACTGATGTAACCAAAACATTTAAAAGTAAATTACTTTGGAGCAAAAAAATTCAGATAAATTTTCCAAAGGGAAATACCTACACTTGAAGGACTGCCCTCCAAACTGAATTGAAAAGTTACCCTTTGCGCCCATCCTCAGGCATCTGAAGGCTAAAATCCTGAGGCTGGCAGGTACGGTGAGGCAGGGACAAAGCCTCTCAGGTCACTATCCACAATGACAAGGAGCTCAGCAAGGCAGCAGTAAGGATCTGCCAGCCATAGCAATGGCACAGGGTGTGGGACAGAGCAGGTGACCAAAGCAGGCAGGGCTTCCTGAGCCAAGTCACTTTAACAGGATGCCAACAGATGCTTAAACAGCCTGATATTTTTGGCCTACATTATGAACAGTGTCTCATTCACCGATGCCCACTGGAATTGAAAATGTTCAGCACTATTTGCCCAATCCAGGAATCCATCCAGGGCACATGCAGTGATGGGTACTACATACATCTATTCTTTAGTTCAGTCTAACACATGTCTTTCACAGTACCAACAACACTGGGGAGATGTTTGTCCTTACCACCTGGGAGTCATCTGGTAGAGCAGATCACTCGCTCTTTTCAGAACCCACCAATTCTGACTTCATTGATACGAGCAGAATGAACGTCTGTAATGAGTGGGTTCTGTAACAAGTGGCTTGTCGACTCGGTTTGATTACCTTCTAGGTGTGTAACAATCTTGGCAATAGAAAACAAATGAGATCATCAAACTCTTTAAAGAACCAGACTCTGGGAGTGGAACATATGCCTTTGATGCCATTACCATTAATAAAATGTGAAAAGAAAATACTCACAAACTACTAGAGTCAAGCCTTTTGGAATTTTACTGGGGCATGTCATACCAAAAAGAACGAAGCAGTTCTATATTGGCAAAGTGAAAGCTAAGGACCCCGTGTTCTGCTGATCCTGAGAGCTAAGTGTGAGCTCCCGAAGACCCATTTCCCATCCTCAGTGTGGTGCAAAGTAACGGGGCTGGACACAATTCTATTTCAGCAGAGAGAACATGCAATAGCAAGCACCCAGTCATGGCTAAGAGACATAATAGGGTCTTCTCCCTCCCTTCCGCTCTGTGACGAGTTAGACAGTTAGAGTGCTGAAGCACCAGGAAGCCTGAAGATAGTCTCTCCTTGCAGTAAGACTGGGTTTAAGACTGACTTCAGAGTTTTGGAATTGTTTGCCTGACTGATGTTAAGAAGCTGATTAATAATGCCTACATCTCACATCCATACCTACCATGCTAATCTGTATTGTTTTACCATTTATTCTCTACTATCTACATTGAGTTGAGGGACTAGTGTTGGAGAATGGGAATACTCTTCCATGTTGGACACTCATTATAAGGCCAGGTATATTCCATGTGATCATATCACAGCAGGACACAGAGTAAAACATCCCATGCTCTGCTCCCAATAAGGTAGCAGCCTCCATTTGACATTTCAGACACACTTAAAGCCTCTCAGCTGCCAATAACATGTCAGCACATGCCAAATTCTGAGCAATTTTGGATGTTCTGCTTGTCCTTATAATGAACAGGAAGTAGACAACTCACGTTTCTCTTACACAGGACCCTTGCAGTTGGACAAAGAAGAAACTTTTAACCATTCGTCTGGGCTGGAGTGAAATTTAGATCCATGGAGAGAAATAACAGTATTCCCATTCCTTTCGTTCATTATCTACTCCTCAGGATCCTTGGTTGATGTATTTTCTCCATGGCTGTTCGTCCCAACACACACACACACAGACACACACACACACAGACACACACACACACACACACACACACACACGGTTGTAGTTAGTTATTGTACATGTCTATGTTCTGAATATGACTATGCCTTTATGTAAGCTTCAAAGTTCTTTTGACCGATGAAAAGAACACTGAATCTCCAATATCTGAAGACAAACACATGCTGTCAGGAGGGACCAGGAAGTTGATTATCTTGTGATCACAGAAAGGTCAGGCACATATAATTTGGATAAAAAGCCCATATCCCTCTAGCTATTTTTGCAGTTGAGGTCCTTTGATGAGCATAAAGGTTATCTGTTCTGCACTCAATAAACTAGCTGTAGAAACAGAAATAGCTGGAAATCGACAGCAGGACCATTGATGTTTCTGATAGGTGCTATGAATCTGTTTGTCCATTTGCAGTAGCTTCATTCTCGATATCCAACCACATAGATTGCTCGGATTGAAATGCAGTCATATACAAATGTTCCTTCTAGTCTGTCTAGTTTGTTGAGCAAACCAGAACAAGTGCAAGTTGCCACATTTCTGTCACTGCTGGGAAGAGGCTGTTTCAAAAGGTATTCCACTCTAATTCTCTTTGAAGAACATAAAGAATATGGCAAAACTTTTAAAAGCTTAAAAATTCTGCATTGAGGCCTAAGTTAACATTATATATAAACAGCACATATGCAACCAGGAACAAAATGAAAAAAATCAGTTGATCAATATGCCACCTCATAAACTCAGCTTGCAGAAACCTCTGAATTTTTGTCATTAAGTGATGAGCTAATTAAAGACAGGATTATATTAGGAATAAGGGATCCAAAAGCAAAATTATGCCTATTGAGAGAAGACAAGCATCCACTTCAGATAGTGATTGATTTAAGCAGAAGTGCTGAGGTTGTGAATCAATACGTGGAACATATTCATGGTCGAATAGACCAGGTCCTGCGTTATTCTGACAGAACCTTCAGACACACAGGGCAAAATAATCATAGACAAAGAGCAGGATGCAAATCTTGTAAAAGACACCATGAGGAATGTCCAGCATGGCTACAAAGAAACATAACAAACAGATACAGATGGCCACTGAAGAGATAGTGACTGAAGAGTCTGATAAATCATTGTACATCAGTTTGGTTCAGTCATGTTGATAGGTGAGGTGTGGTTTGTGACTTTGGGAACGAGAGCTGCAGAAGTTGTTCTTCACACGCAGAGAGCTGATCAGGAAGAGGTGAACACACTGCCCAGGGAGAATGCACATCAGCCAGGAGACCCAGGAGTTCACAGCAACCCAACCAACAGAAATAGAGGAACACCGACCACCATAACAACAACAAATATCACAGGAATTACACTCCCTGGGAACACAGCATTGCTCAGACAAACAGCAACAGTACAACATGTACCTTTAAGAATCCAGCATAATTTAAGCACAATGTGTGTTATGCGTATGCAGCGACCAATGGAAGTAATGAACCGATAAGGCATGAGAACGGTAGTGCATATAGTTGCCAGCTTGGGTAACTCAAAATGTACATGATAATGCATGCTATTCTTTTTCTTTCTTTGTATAAAGATGGGGATGTTTGGTTTGGTGTGCAATCACAGGCAAATATCTCTCTGATGCTGCCATAGTCATGTGACTTCTCCCATGATACATATGCCTTCTAGAGTGACATCTTAAGCTTCACTTCAATAAAAATCCCCATGTTGAGCACATTGCTGTGTTATACACTTGAAACATAGACCAGTTTGTTCTTGCTGCCTGTTTAAGTGACTCATGAATTCTTCCACAGTTCTCAGGCTGACTCTTCCATTATTTCTGTGTTTCAGCATGCTTTGTTGACCATAAAGATCATTTTAGCCTTCATTATTCCTGACGTTCCTCAGTGGGTGAAGCTGAAGATTGAGAGAGTTGAATATCAGTCACTCCAAGCCCTCAAGCACAAGGTAAAGTATGAATTAACTAAAGTATCAAAGAATTAAAGCATCTCTTCTAACAACTTGAATCGATAGAGTACACAGTGGAGAAAAAAATGTCTTAAGGTGTTCCACAGCACTGAGGATCATAGACAAATAGAGTCAGAGGATGCTCATGTGTAGAATGATCATGCTAGCATGAATGAGTGGGCTGAATTGCCTGTTTCTGTGCAATGTAATCTGTGAGAAACCCAGAAGCAAATTAGAACCACAGAAGTTGGTTGCAGCCTCACAACCCTGTGTTAGCAGATGGTCCTGTCACCAGTTACTACAGTCTCCACACTGATGCTTCAGATCAAATTGTACACTGAGCTCGAAGGTAGATAAACATGTCTCCCCGAAACAAGTACAACTCCTGCCAGCTGTTGTGGAGTGATTTCCAGCTGTGATCCACGTGCAATTTACAAACAAATTTCTCATCATACAACAACAACTTGCATTTATGTAAGACCATATGAAATAGACGTTGGAGGGGGCCACGGCAGCCTTCGAGCCTGCTCCACTGCTCAATAAGATCATGGATGAGCTTCTAGTTTATACCCTCATATACCCTAATTCCCATGGTACCTGGAAATCTCTCACCCTGCTTTGAATGCTGTCTTTTCCAAAATAAAAGATCAGTCATGATCTTATTGAATGCAGAGTGGAATCATTGGGCTGAATAGCTTGCACCTGCTCTTTTCTGTGTGCTGTTATGAATATGCTTAATCATGGGCATCCTCAGGTTTTTGAGTCGAGAATTCCAAAGATTGACAACTCTTTGAGTGAATAAACCATCCTCAGTCGTAATGGTCGACCTCTCGTTCTTCTGTAGCACTTCTAATGCAGTAAAGCTCATGAGGTCACCCTAAGAGTGTAGTCAATCAAATATTGATGCCAAGCCGAAAAGACGGAAGGTAAAGATAGGATTTTGTCAAATAAGTATCTTTAGACAAGGATCTTGTAGGAGGAAGAGTGAATTGGGGATGGGAAGTTCTCAGGAAAGAATTCCAGAAACTGTTTTTAACAGGGGCATGTGGAGCTATCTGTCCCTCCTAAGGGGAAATGTTGGTCAGAACTTTAAAAAACTGACTTTATAAAAGGCTGCCTCAGAATGATAAAATGCTAGGGACAGCCTTAACAAGCGGAGAGTGGGACATCGACCCCCCCCCCCCCAGTAGAAGTTTGGTACAACCTGAAGAGCTTTTGTAGACCCAGCAACACTAGACCCTTTAGAGGCTGTTGCTGGGACTGTGGGCTACCCTGTAAAGAGGTACCATGGATGCCAGGGATGGGTAAGTGCTGCTGAGCCTTTTTGTCTGGGAAGGAATTGGGCACCCCATGGAGGTGGGGATTGTGAGGGAGCAGGCCTCTGATACTGGGCAATGAGGCATAAGACAGGGATAGGCTCGAAGGGGCTTGTTCTGAAGAAGGGTCACTGGACCCGAAACATCAACTCTGCTTTCTATCCACATGGGTGCCAGACCTGCTGAGTTTCTCCAGCAATTTCTGTTTTTGTTTCCGATCAAAAGGCTTTTTCCCAAAGCAAACACAAGGCACCCTTTGAAAGGTGTCCTAGCCAGGCCTCCCATCTTTCGACTAACACAAATGTAAAGCAAGCCTTTCCACTTCTGCCTGTCCTCTGCTGCCCAGCATGTGATGGTAGTGAGGGCAGACCAAGGACTGTAAGAGGGCAGAAACTGGCCACTTAAGAGCCTCATTAGACCTCGTACCTGTGGGCAAGTGGGCACCTTACCTACCACCTTTTATTACATAGAGCAGTTCAAGCCTGGCCATGGTTAACTAGCCACAGGGGGCTAACCATCACCAAACCCATCCACCACCCACAGAAAATGCATGTTGTAGGGAGCAGTCAACTCCAGCCAAACAGCTCGGGGGCCCCAACACTAAAACCACCAGTGGTTGAATAGAGAATATTCTTGGCAGGCAAAAGGGGCTCATTTTTCCATCAGCCTTGGGATGTAACTGCTATTTTGCCTCTGTTTTAGTTGGCTGAAGTAGATAAAGATCACAGCAGAGGAATGGCAGAGAAAGAAACGCTTTCTGATGGAACTACAGAGTTCAATTCTGCAGACAGCTCACTGTATATAAGCAACAAGCAGCTGAACTTATTGTAACCATTCTGTTATGATGTGCAAGTGAAATACAGTTCTATAAACATAGAGTAACCCCAGCTCAGAAACTATCTCTGTCCCTCCATCATTTATTTGCACGGAACTTATATTTGCTTTGTGGATAATCCCGCAGCTCCTTTGTTATTTTGTGGATTCCCTCTAACTGCACAAATAAATATGTAAACCAGTCACTGATAAATTACACTTCTCACAGCAGAAACCATGGCTTGCACTTGTATTTTCGGCTTTGTCTCTTGATTAAAGCAATAACCTTTCACAAATATAAATCATCACAGCCAGGGGCAACACACATCAATGGTCTGGACAGAGAGGGTGGCAGGAAAATTGGTTTCTCTTTTACAAATAAGATCCTGTTTATTTAAAAGATTAGCACAAAGTCCTCATTATTTCCAGATAATTGGCACAAATACCATCCTACCTAGTGAGATTTTGTTCCTATTGCCTTTCTATTTTGAGTGCTTCTCTGCATGGCTATGAGATGAAACATTAAAACAGCAAGTTTTTCATGAAAGTATAGCATTGCAGAAGTTGAATGGTCTAATCAGTGATAGTTTAGCATACTGTCCAGCCCTCTTATCCACAGTTGGTCCTATCTGACAGTTGTGAGACCTTTCATTATGACCCTGACTGATCATAATATCTTTGCCTGGGACTCACTGATAGATGGTTGGGTTACTTACCCTGTGAAACTGAGTGATAGTCACAGGCCTCATACTGAGGCAAGCTGGCTGTAACCTTTACCATGTGGCAATCTGACTGTGGTTCAAGCTCCTTGCTGTATGGCTCTCTGACCATTTATTAGTCTCTCGTATATTATCATTGCTTCAAGCTGATATACACAGAAATGGACAACTTCATGTCAGCAAGAATTAGTGCTATTGGCCACAGTCTATCTCTTGATGTTAAAACTGACTTTCACACACACACCCATTGCATGTTACTTTTTGGAAATGTAGATCATTCAGACTCAGTGGTTTAAGGATTCTAATCTATTCTTTCTAACACATCCTCTGCAAACCATGGAAAGTGGATACGAACTTTACAAGATTGATGCCTGATAAATATGACATTGCAGGGGATTCAACATTGAATAAAGAAGGTTGTGCCCCTTTTAAAATGTTTGATGCATGTAACGCATGGGTCGTTTATTTATTATTTTTGCAATACTATTATTGTGTATATATGGAGTGGGGATGAATGTTCTCATGTACAGTATTTCATCAAAAACAAAACACAAAGTAAAGTCCATTATTTTCTCAGTGAATTTCATGTGATTTTATTCTAATGTTAACATTTCTGACATTTAGCTCATTTGAAAAGGCTCAGGAAATACATAGACTATTGTTTTTAGAATAGGGCTATAAGGACACTGGGATATTTATTTCAAAGATACTTTTTGGAAGTCACATAGTTTAAGCAATTTCCTTGGATTTATTTACTGGAAATCACATGCCTGGATTATGGCTTTATATTTGGTATTGCTTAGAGCTCCATTGGAGTACATACTACTGAGAAATAGAGAGAGAGAGAAAAGCTGTTCAAGCCCATCCTCTTCCTTTCTGAGAAACCTCTTTTGGAGTTTCCAGTGTGATAACTGAAACCCTCAGAGATAGCAAGAACTGCAGATGCTGGCGTCAGAGTCAATACAGTGTGGGCTGAAGGAGCACAGCAGGTCAGGCAGCATCGAAGGAGCAGAAAAGTCGACCTTTCAGGTTTATATCCTGATGAAGGGTGTAAACCTGAAACATTGACTTTCCTGCTCCTCTGATGCTGCCTGACCTGCTGTGCTCCTCCAGTTCCACACTGTATTAACTGAAACCCTCAACCAGCTTTCCTCATGTAAATCCACTGAAGTGGTTATTCTCAATAACATCTTGTGACATCTTTGAATGAACTGTGTTTGAAGATCCCAGTCATAGCCATGCATTTTGCAATATTCATCGATATATGTCATGATGCCTATTGAAAGGTATCTTAAACATTTCATAACTCAACACTTTTCCTTCAAGAACTAACAATTATTGGCCAAAGTGTTTTTATTTCAACATTTATCTCTGCAGAGAATTGCTATATTTTTCCCTTACTTGGTGTATGTGTCCATTCATTGGTAGGGTTTATTTAGAAGGATAAATATTTATACTTTAATATTTTAAACTTTATGTTAATTCAGTTGACACATTTGCCAAATTAGCCCTGTTTTACAGTAAATTAATAAACAATTCTGCTGTTTGTTGAAGAAATCTGGTTGATGATCGTTTAATTCTAAATCTAATAGAGATAAAGTATGTAATATCAAAAACAAGGCAAACATTTAAATAGAGACAGTAGGAACTGCTGATGCTGGAGAATTTGAGATAACAAGGTGTAGAGCTGGATGAACACAGCAGGCCAAGCAGCATCAGAGGAGCAGGAAGGCTGACGTTTCGGGTCTGGACTCTTCTTCAGAAATGGGCTGAATTTCTGAAGAAGGGTCCAGATGCGAAACGTCAGCTTTCCTGTTCCTCTGATGTTGCTTGGCCTGCTGTGTTCATCCAGCTCTACACCTTGTTATCAAACATTTAAATAAATGTGGTGACTAATGGACTATGAGAACCAGAGATACGCAGTATACTCATTCAGCCTCAGCTATAACAAGAGGGTTCTGATTCTTTGACTGTTGTTATCCTAGTGTTACAGGTCACTGATCACCACATGTGAGGAGTGTTTATTTGTAATTTTATTGGTCAGAGCACCATGAGTACAACATGCCTAAACTCTCCATAGTTGCCCCATGAAAAGCCTCTGCAAGTAATCTGAGCTTGTAAAGGATCTTCTATGATATACAATGTGGCATCAGTTATACTGCAGCTATAATCTTTTCAGGATAAAAGAACATTCAGGATTTAATAAATGAACGAGGAGTTCTGGAGAGGATTCAGAAAAAACAAATCAGGATGTTGCTGGGAATGGATATAAAAATAGACTGGAAAGACTGAGACTTTTTTCACTGGAGCGTAGGAGGTTGAGGGGGTGACCTTATTGAGGTTTATACATTCATGAGGGGCATAGTTAAGGTGAATGACAAGCATCTTTTCCCTAGGTTGGGGGAGTTCAAAACTAGGGACATATTTTTAAGGAGAGAGGAGAAAGATTTAAAAAGGTCATTGGGAGCAACCGTTTTATACAGAGAATGGTTCATGTGTGGAATGAACTGCCAGAGAAAGTGGTGGATGCAGGTACAGTCACAACATTTAAAAGACAAGTGGATAAGTTCATGAATAGGAAAGGTTTGGAGGGATATGGGCCAAGCGCAGGCAGGTGGGATTAGTTTAGTTTGGGAACAGTCGGCATGGACTGGTTGGACTGAAGGGTCTGCCTCTGTGCTGTACGGCTCTACGATTCTGCTTCCTGCTGGGTTCTATCTAATTCTCTGGAAAGCAGATGGTGAAGGATTGGTGGATTATAAATATAGATGTGCAAACTCCATTAGGAGCATGCGGGCCTGTGTGCGCTAATGTCACACACTCTCCTGCTACTAGTATGACTTTCAAAGCATGAATTGACTCCCACACATTTGGTCCACATGTTCCATTTGATGCTGAGGCCCAGAACACAAAGTGGTATCCCTCACTACTTCACACATTTACAGTGATGGACACCATTAAGATTTGTAATGATGTGCCCCTTACCCTTGTGAAGAGCAGGAGGCCATAAAATCTTATGAAGCATTGGACTGAGATTTGCTTGTGGACCCCACAGCTGCTCAACTCTTTCGAGATTTCTGCCCAGGCCTGGTCAAACTTTGAAACAGGACGTTTTGCTGTTTTTGGATGTCCTGGGAGAGAACTGTTTGGTGGGCGTCACTAAACAGTGGAATCACTTAATCCCTGCACTGAAACAGCAGGTGGTTACAGCAGCGTTTGTGGAGATTGGGGCCATAGGCTCAGGCCAGCAGTTTTTGCAATAGCTGCTGATCTTTCAAAACTTTCCTTCTCACAGCCAGCCTGATGCTGCCTAATTACAGGGATGGAATAGATGTCTGGCATCCAGGCTGCTGAGCCTGAGGGGCAAAAGTACAATCTTTGATTGCTTGCCTCACAGCCACTGCATGATTCACTGAGACCCTAGATCATGAATATCTAAAAGGGCTGGTCACCATGTGGCGAACCAGCCTACCTCCAAGTGGAAGAGCCATTCACTTCCAGCCCCGCTGTTGGCACTGTAAAGTACATTTAATGCAACAGCATGATTCTGCTCAGTTATCACTACTAACATTAACACGTATGCAAACAAAGCAATAATGATTCAAATCATTTGGAATTTCTGCTCCAATCTCTCTCTCTGGAGGCATTCTCCCCTTTTGTGTGCTGGAACTTCAGCTACAATTTCTCAAATCGATCACGTTCAGCTGAATGAAGAGTGGTGTAGAGAAGCTGAACTGGAACTTTCAGACCAAGGAATGGAAGTCATTGAATCATGGAGCCATACTGCACAGAAACAGACCCTTCAGTCCAACTATTCCATCCTGACCACGTTCCCATCTAAACTAGACCCACCTGCCTGTGTTTGGCCCATATCCCTCCAAACATTTCTTATTCATGTACTTACTCAAATGTCTTTTAAATGTTGTAACTGTACCCACATCCACCACTTCCTCTGGCAGTTCATTCCACACATGAACCACTCTCTGTGTAAAGAAATTGCCCCTCGTGTCTTTTTTAAATCTTTCCCCTCACCTTAAAAATATGTGCCCTAGTCTTGAAATCCCCCATCCTGGGGAAATCTTATCTATACCCATTCATGATTTTATAAACCTCTGTAAAGTCACCCCTCAACCTCCTATGCTCCAGCAAAAAAAGTCTATCCAGCCACTTCTTATAACTCAAATCCTCCACTCCATTATTAATAAACAGTATTATTGATGAACAATACTAATAACACATATTATTGATGCAGAGTATTATTTTGCGTTAGATTATTAATGCCCAGTACCACTGACATCTAGGTGGTTAGAAAGAGATACTCTATGAACTGCAAATGGACACATGATATTGGATGATTTACACTGCGCTGTTGTCTTTTGAAAACATCATCTCACCCTTAACTTTCAAGTGAGTTTGAAGACATCGCAGCCTTTGCATATGAATTGTTCCCATTAAACTCACCATAAGAATTAAAGCCTAGTAAATAATAGCATAAAACTCCTTTTGATGGGGTGATAACTGCTAATAACTGTCAAATGACCACATGGCCAAGAATGTCAAGTTCAGACCAACAAAATGTGCAGACTGTCATTCCATAATTGTTGAAACTTTGAAACGTAAATTTAGTATTTATCCCTTTTTCATTCGTCTGAATTTGGGATCTGTCACTGTAATATTTTCTCTAATTAATTTGTGAGTTCCTTCCCACTTCTTACTCTGCTCACTGCTCAATTTAACTGTTACTCACACTTCCAACAAACTACAGAGCCATTTTGGGCTGAACAGTGCTGAAAAAAAATCTAACTAACAAGGCTTGAGTATAAATAACTGCTCGGGGGCTCTTGTGGTACAGTGGTAATGTCCCTACCTCTGAACAAGAAGCCTGAGTTCAAGTCCCACCTGGTTCAGAAGTGTCTCATAACATTTCTGAACAGCTTTGTTTCAAAATATCCGCAATTCAATGCTCCAGCCAATTTAGAGTAGTAACAGGATGTACTATAGAGACTGGACACTGCTGTTCTCATTAGGTGGAGCATGAGCTTTAAAGCCAAAAACAATTTCAGCTGAATGCAAAGACAAGCTGCACTCACTGTCTCAGCACTGGGGCGGCTGCACTCAGAGGCTCTGCCCCAATAACATGTGTGCTAACCTGCTTAACCGTTAGAATACCTGTGCACACCCTCAGTACCATCTGTACACACTGCCTCAACCCTAAGCACACATTCCCCCACTGCCTCAGTTCCTGAACAACTGTATTTTCTTGTTCAGCTGTCTGAATCATCTGCATTCACTGTCTCAGCCCCTGGAAAAAACTGCATTCACTGTCCCAATCCCTGGAACAACTGCATTCACTGTCTCAGCTCTACAGCTGTATGCATTGCTTCCCTAGGGACACCTGCGTTGAGTGCCTTAACCCAGGGAGCAGCTGCATTTACTGCCTCAGCCACAGGAACAGCTGCACTTGCAGTAAGCTCCTCAGTATTACAACAATAGTTATGTAAACCGCTTTCCTAAGCAAAGTGAAGTGGGCACCAATTATAGCACCGCACATATGACAATAATTTTTGTTTCACTACTAGCTTTCTCCAGGCAGAATGTATGTATGTATGTATTGTCCCACATCCCTGCATATTTATTTCAGAGTGCAGCTGACAAATGCTCACTTAAGGTTCACAGCGTAATAGCCCATATTAAGTTTCATTACGAGATATAACAAAGAGATTCGTTTCTGGCATTTGCTAACCTGCGCATTTATCCTGACAAAAATCAATGATGTCGTGGGTCTTTCTGTGTTGCTAAGCAATTGTGGCTGCAATGATAATTTGTCATTGTCGGTTGCTAAGCAAATTATGTAACTGCCTTATCCTGACTTCTGGTTTAATATTTTGTACTGTTGACAAAAAAAATCAAGTGACAGTGTACATGTAGCCAAAAGTGAAAATACTATTCTTACAGTCTGTGGAATCAAAATCTTTA